TCACTTCGTTGCATTTTGAAAGAGATCTAGTGGGTCTGCGTCCTACAAACCTGACTTACAACTGTCACCTTAGCTCTATAAAGCATATTTTATCAAAACTCACTCGCTTCATCCATCCTCCTACAATATATCGTCTGAGAAGTACTTTGAGGATCTTATCATCCAGCAAGTGCTGGAGTTTTTTTGTGACTTACGTCGCTGAAATGCCTGGTCCTTTTGGGAAACTTCGAATATTCAAAAATACATTCCTCTAAGTTGGAAATTCAAAATTTGGAGTAGTTGGTTTTAAATCCAAGCAGACTAATCCAATAATGAAAGCAACCTTTTTGAAGTACTGAAAAAAATAAAAGATAATTCTCAAAGTAAGCTTATTACAGTACGCCGGATGTTGTAAAATAAAAATTTTATTCCAAGAGATAAAGCACGCGCCACTCGTTTTGAGTTGAGCTACCATACATACTACGTAGAAAGCTTTGTAGCCAACAGCAGCATAGTACCGTACGCTAAGCTCGTGGCATTTCGTGGTTTTGTAGGTAATAGCCGATGTCGCTACGGTATTCGATACGACAAGGGTCCAACAGGGTGAAGGCCATCATTCTCGAATTGGAATTGTTACATATGGAACAAAAGCCGAGGCGGTACGATTGTTGAAATTCAATCCACCAATCATATGTTCGCATTCAATATCTAAATTTTGTAGAAGTATAAATTGGACGCATTTAAATCCAACGAGGAATTCCTCGATAAAGTTTGGGAAGTTCAAAATGCTAAAGACAACTCATCCGATCTAAGAGCGTAAGAAATAATGTTTAATCACTTTCATGCAAAGAATGTTAGTACTGCTCTCTTAATTTGTAACTTTCTCATTCAGAGCCTTGATGTTGACCCAGGAAATCTTAAAGGAGGGTCGTCCAAAAAACGTGAGAGAAAATGTGAAACAAGCCATCATTATTTACACCAGTGTCTACAAGTGAGTTTGATATTGCGATAATATTTGTAACTTATACCACATAATAATTCTTAAAGATTACATTGGATTTCTCACGTCGTACAATCCAATGCACATTCATTCTGAAAGCACTAAAATAGGGTAATTAGGAAACAAAAACTTGTTAGCCTGACTGCATGAGCTTTTTCAAATGCCCCTCCTAAAGTTTGTCTTTTAGACCCTAAATATATCCCGCTTAGATGGGATTCTGATAGAGACTATCCGTCTACGCTTAGATATTAATGTAATTGGAGCAATTGTTACATCAAACTTCAAAAGTATCTAACATCCTCTG